GACTTGTACAAGGACATCAAAGACTTCACAAACACATCAAAGACTTTAAAAACAAATACTTCACGAGGACTTGAAACCAACTACCTTTACAGCTCCTATGAATCAAATAAAAACAAGCTAACATGTTAATCTCCCAAATACACTCCTTACCTCCCTCTCCTCTCTCAATAACCAGCTCATGATATAGTGATACCGTATGGCTAGAAAATTTCGTGGGGTATTTAATTTGCCATACGGTACTGCTGTTCATCAGCTCCTCCTCCTCTCTCTCTCCCTCCCTCTCTCTCTCTAAGATGCTCTTGTATTCAGGCTTGATATTTGAATCCTCTACTAGCTGTCCTCTCTCCCTCACTCTTTCTCCCTCCCTCCCTCTCTCTTAAAGGCTAATGTCTTCAATAGGCCCGAGGAGCTATAGCTAGAGGAAGGAAGCAACGATATAATTTATATTGAAGTACATGTACTATACTATTTAATTGTACATGTACTGTACTATTTAATTAATTAAGTGTACATGTACTATTATTAGTTAATTACATGTACTTGTTATTTAATTATAGTATTTAGTTACATGTACTATTATTAATTATGAGTACAAGTACTGGCTATTTAAGAGGAAAGGTAGCATTGGAGTGTTAGAAATAAGAGGGGAGTTAAGAAAAGAGGAATAAAGAAAAGATAGAAAAGGAGGAGAAGGGAGAAGAATAGTTCATGATTCAGTAGCTCCTTTTTTTGTAAGCACAAGCAGAGGATAAAGAAATGATTGTTAGAGCAGATCAACTGGAGAATGGAGAATTACTCGAGAAAATGATCGAAGAATGTTGTAGTGTAGAGCTGGTGAAGTAGACAGGTTGTAGAGCTACTGAATCAGTAATTCGATGAAAAATCGGTTGATTGAAGAGTGTTGTAGTGTAGAGCTGGTGATTCCTATAAGCAGACTGGTTGTATAGTTACTGGATGTTATAGCTATAGTGTTGTTCTTGTAGAAGCTAGTCCAAATACAGTTCTTGATGTGCTCTCATGACAGGACGTGAAGTGAAGAACTAAATTATTGTAAGATGATGAGCGATGCCTCCAAAAAATTATCTTGAAAATACCAAGAGAAGTTGAAGTCTTCTGCCAAGCTTCCCCCTCCCCTCTCTCTCTCTCAATAAGTGATCACACAAATCTCTCAGTTGAACTCTCTGTCTCTCCTCCAGTCCTCAAGCAGGAACAAAAAGCTGACACAGTAGATTGAATGCATTCCATTAACTGGTGATTGTTTCATGCAGATATTGTGAATAGGTTTAATCATTGTGGTTTTTAAATTAAAAGCCGAGTTTAGTTAGATTGACAATGCATATATGCAGGCTCATTATAAGTCCTTCAAATTAATAGATTTTAATGTCTAGTTGTTACAATACCCCCTCTCTCTTTTTCTCTAAAAAACTTCTCTTTCTCTCTACAAAAAGAATCTCTTTCTCTCTAAAAAAAGAACTTCTTTTTCTCTCAAAAGAAGCTGTAGATTGTATATGATGATGTTCATTTTCAAGCAGGCTCCTCCATAGAACAATCTGTAGTATCAAGCATGATCCTCCATAGAACAATCTGTAGTATCAAGCAAGCTCCTCCATAGAAAAATCTGTAGTATCAAGCAGGCTCCTCCATAGAACAATCTGTAGTATCAAGCACTCTCCTCCATAGAACAATCTGTAGTATCAAGCACTCTCCTCCATAGAATAATCTGTAGTATCAAGCAGGCTCCTCCATAGAACAGTGTCCACCATGTCTACCTTCTTATTTTAAAGGCTGATGATTTGAAACTAAGTGGGGGATGCTCATTTTGACGCTGAAAAATAGTTTTATAGTCGTATAATTGATTGTACACTTTGCTACAATACCTCCCTTTCTCTCTAAAAAATCCCTTTAAAAAATTCTTTCAAAAAACTAAATAAGAATCATTACAAGTAATTTTTTCTAGTTTAAAATTAAAGTAAAAGCTCGGTTTTAGTTTTACATGTAGATCTATATATAGGCCAATTATAAATACTTTATAATCTATAGTTTACAGTTTACATTTAGTTTGTTACATAGCTCCCTCAGCTCTCTTTCTCTCGAAAAAAGCATCTCTTTCTCTCTAAAAAGCATCTCTTTCTCTCTAAAAAGAATCTCTTTCTCTCTAATAAAACAATCTCTTTCTCTGTATAAAAGGAATCTCTTTCTCTCTAAAAATCTTTCTCAAAAATTAGTTACTTTAATAAGCAGTGTCTTACTAGACACTGCTTATCAGCTCTCCCTAGATCTGCTGTACAGTATATCACCACCAATGTGTACCATGCTTCCCTCCCTAATATTCTAAAGGCTCATGTCTAGTTGATATTAAATGGGGGTTGCTTATCTGCTCAATTGATGCTCAATGCATAAAAATATTTCTAAGTTTTTGTATTAATTATTATTACTTTCTACTTTCAGTTTTGAGTCATGTTTAGTATGGTATAAATAAGGCTTTTAGTTTTCCAGTTAAGGCTATACGGTGATAATGATGCATTATGAGTAATTATTTCTTTATATTAAATTTTTGAATTTTAGTGTGATTGCAATACACTCTTTCACTCTAAAAAAGCATCCCTTTCACTCTAAAAAAGCATCCCTTTCTCTCAATAGAAATTGATCCCGTTTGAATTTTTGAAGCAAGCTCATCTATCCATACAGTGAAAGAATCTTTAGCATCAAGCACGCTCCAAACTCCAAAGAACAAAATGATTGGTGACACTAAAGCTTTATCCATTGATGGTTGTTGATGACTGCAGGGGCAGGATCCACCAAACATAATGATGATTTGGTTACAAATATGCTATAAATTAGAGGCTTTTATTATATCCTATTGGGCTATTCTCATCACTCATATCACACAATGCTCACCACATGTATTCACACATATCACTCACCACACATTCATACACACATGTAGTTAAATAATGCTTTATAATTTTAGTTTTATATTGCAGTGTAATAGTTAATTTTATAGTTTTACATGCACTTATTTGACTTTTCACGCATATAATTAATCTTTTTGGCAATAATACGCTTGGATTTTTTGTAATTGGAATACTAGATAGTGGTAAGTAGTTATAATTATAGTTTTACATGTATATTTTTGTTTCTTTTCAGGCATACCATGTATCAGGAAATTTTTACCATGACTTTTAATTTTGCTAAAATTAGAAATTAGATCACGGGAAAATCATGTCAGGCGATGCACATTTTTTGAGGCGTAAATTTACTAAAGCATAAATTTCCAGATATACGGTATGCTAGTTGTATCATTTTTAAAATTACACGCAATATTTTTTTAATATCAGAAGTAGAGATAATGATTTGTAGGTAGAAAAAGGTAGTTGGTTAATTGTTATGCTGATACTCCACGAGTTATCCTGTGATGGTATATTGTGAACAAGCTATCGTGTAATGTGAATCCTCAAGTTATCCTGTGATGGTATATTGAACAAGCTATTGTGTGATGTGAATCCTCAAGTTATCCTGTGATGGTATAATGAACAAGCTATTGTGTGATGTGAATCCTCAAGTTATCCTGTGACAATTATGAGTGTGATGTAAATCCACTATAAGCCAAAGACAAATGACACCTGATTGCCTCCATAGAATTAACTCGGAACTCACCAAATTTTCTCTCTCTCTCTCTTTTATATAGGTTATCAAAGTTTTTAGTTTTGGTTTGAAAAGTTAACTACAAGTTTTATGTGTACTTTAATCTTTTACTCTCTCGCTCAATTTTGAAGTAAGGTAGCATTAGAGTATTAGAAATAAGAGGGGATTAAGAAAAGAGGAATAAAGAAAAGATAGAAAGGAGGAGGGAGCAAAGTGTTTCTGACCCTGGTAATCCTGGAGTATGTCCATGTTAGATGATGAAAGGCTAATATCTTCATTTAAAAATATTATACCATTATTACCTACAGCGACAAGAAGGCATGCTGTATTTTGGCAGCTACCTGACCTCTCTTGAACGCTGCAAACAGCAGTCAGTTTTGACTAACTGTTGACCGACCTGACACGCACATGCATACACTATACTAACAATACATGATTATAATTCCTACATCCCAGCACACACCAGTCAACATATTTCAAGTAATATTACCTCGTGAGAAAGATCCTGTCAAGAATGAAAAGCTGGACACACTAATGAGGGTGTGTATGTGGGTTGGGTACAAACCCACACACACCCCCCACTAACGTGTTATTGCAATCAATGCACCAGCTTTCCATTTTTGACAGGATCTCCCTCACAATATCACTAGAAACATACTGCCTAGTGTATGACAGGACAACTTAACAAGCGTATCAGGCCAGTCGGTAATAACGGGGAATGTACCTACACTACAGGGTTCTTTAGATTACAATATACGCGCGATGTTTCGTGTTTCCGGCCCCTCCCTAATAGTATTATACACATGCAAATGGGGACATACATATAATGACATGCAAGGATTGTATGAGTGCATTACTAGCCAGGTCTGGTCGGCCAGCCCGGCTAGCATTACAACTATTGACTTGCTGATTGATCCATGAGAATCCCATACCAGTGACTCCAAGATGCTCCAGGTTCACGACAAACATCAAGCCTCCACAGAACTACAACGAGAGAGGACGTCCACAAAAACTTGACACAGCTTAGCAATTCGACTCCTAAAATAAAATAAAAAACAAGTTTACATGGGCTTCAGTACAGTACACGTAGAGTAGTACAGTACATACAATAACAGGCTCCACTATTATAGTACAGTACAGTATACAGCAATAGGCTCTAGTACAATACAGTACAGACAATAGGCTACAGTACAGTACAGTATGAACACAATAGGCTACAGTACACTATCAAAACAGCTATCAACAAGCTAACAAGAAGCTATGCAGACATGTGTCTACAACAGCTACAACTGAGATACATGCATGGCTCTAAATCCTCACTTGGTATCACATCCAGTCCTTTTCTTTCTTGTTCCATGGGCCAACCTTGCCCGTTTGAGCCTTCCTTTTGTGGGCGTGGCCTCCAAAAAGGGCGGGAAATTCAACCGAGCATGTGACAAAGAGAAATGAAGAACATCAAGTAAATCCACTAGTTTAGCTCGCCCGGGGAGTCATGTATGGCGGCCCACACTGCTAACCTGTATGAAAAAAAGTGACAAAAAATAAAAATATAAAGGGAACGGTAGAAATATAAAATAAGAGAGGAAAAGAGAGAAAAGAAAGGCTACTAACCATGAACAGGTGTAGCAGCCATTAAAGGAAGAGGTCATGACCTTTTAGAGAAGAGAGAGAGAATAAAGAATGGGCCAACTGCTGTTAACCTGTAAAGAAAAAGAATATAAATGAATGAGTAACTGAAAGAGAGGAGAGAAAGAGGGAGAGAGAATGAGAAAAAAGGAGACAGAGGAGGAAGAGACAGGAAGCCATGACTAACTGTAGCAGAGGCAGAGACCCTTGAAGACTGATCCTTTCCAGTCCAGAAAAACGTCAGAAATGAGTAGGAAGATGGAGGCAGCTCTTTATATAGCTTTTGAGGGCTTCCCGGGAAGAGCCTTACCCGCGCGAATCTGATTGGTCAGTCTGTTTGACGTCATAGAGTTCCTAGGATGCACCTGGTTACAGAAATGACGTCAAACTTGACCTTTGAAAGAGCACGTGGCCATTGCAATTGTGCGCATGCGTATTCATGTGAAAGGCGCGGTTAGTTATTATAGTTCAATGCATAGATATTAGAGTACATTTACTCTAATATCTATGTTCAATGACAGCTTTTACAGCTTTTAAAATACATAAAAATTCAAATTTTGATGGCACTCCACTCAAACTTTCTACAGAGCATTAAAACATGTCTATGCATTGATTAACTAACAATAAATCAATAATCAGCAGTAACTAAGTCATTTATTAATACAAGAACTGCTATAGGGCTAATCACCTCACTTTAGCAGCTTCTTGGGAAGCATTTTATAACTGAACAAAGAAGACTACTCTATGTCCTTATAAAGCAGACATTAGTAAAAGTCTATTGTGGGTTGTACTTAATCATATTCATTAATTTGTATTACAAGTACATGCAAGTACATCCTGCTGTTGTTTTGCTGGTGGACATCATAAAATAAGAACAACTCTTGTATAATCAGAACAGGTAGTATCAGATATAAATGTGTATTAATGAACCCCTGAAATAAAGACACTTCCATACTCAGAAAAATATATATTACTGAGGTTCTAAAGTGTCCAGAATTGCTGTCATTATGCAGTATAGTTGATGATACTAGTATTAATGATGAGTATATACTACCACAAATGAAGTATTATTGGAATGCAGAACCATATACTGCACCAAATCAGCAAACAAGGAATAGCATAATTTTTTATTACCAGTCAAATAGAATCTAACTGTTAAGCTTTATGCTTGTATTAGTTGGTCAATAATAATTTTCTTTTTAAATAAAAACACACAATACATGGTTTGATAAAATCTAGACACAAAAAACAATAAAATATGATATTAAAAATGTTATAATAATAATAATAGTCGTATCATTCAATCAATAAATTAACGTCGTTTAAAAATCTACACAGGCACATAAAAAACAGTGAAAGAAGAGCTAAAAATAATTAAACATGTATTGAAGACCAGTAATTACGTAAATTAAATTATTAGATATTAATAATAATAATAATTGTTCACTTTTATAAGCTGAAGTTAGCATAAGTGTCAAACGAACCAAGAAACTCTAGTATTGATTTATAGCAAAACTCATATTGATCCTGTGAAGAAAGAGACACATTAAATTAATCATCAAAATGAAATGAAATGAAACATTTGTACACATAAGCAAATGTGAAAGGCTAAATGAGAGAGATAAAGGAGAAATTATGCCAGACAGAAAGGCAAACAAATGCATGCACACTCTAATATAAAACTCATCTTTTGCTAAATACTGACAACCCATACAAATACAATGCTTTTATAATCTCGGCTTTATTCCTTACATTCATCTATAGTTTAGTATTACATATTTCTTACCACTGATCTGACCATCCCTGGTCTCTGAAGTCGGAGACCGCGGACAACTTGAAAGACGTCTACAAGTCCTTCGGTTTTGAGTCGATCGATCAGGAGACACGTAGCAATGTAAGTACCAGTTCTACCACAACCACCACTAAAAGAGAGGAAAGGGAGAGAGTAATGGCACAATACAGTGAGCAAAAAATTGTGGGAAATAAAAGTTTCATCACCATTTGCAACCTCTAATTTTGAAAAACAGGGTCAAAATTTTAATATCCAAACACAAATTTTAACTTCAAATTTTATGCATGCAACTATACACTAACTAACTATATTTTCTCTTTATCATTATACATGTACTTACCTGCAGTGTACCACTATTGGTTTGTCACCAGAGTTCCTCTGCCATTTCTCTACTTGTTCTCTCACGTCCAATAGACCAATGGCTGAATCGGGTACACCCTTGCTGGGCCAACTGACGTATTGGAACTGCTTAACATGTTGACTACTACCTTCAGCATCCTATTGGAGAGAATATAAGAAGCCATTAACAATATATAGTACATATAGTACTATATATAGTACAATATAGGAAGATTTATAGCCACTACAAAATGCAGCATAGAAACCAATCACTAAATAATAGCACAATTTGCATTTTCAAAGGAGGTAATTATGGATCATAAACTATCTACATGCACATACTAATATAAACTAAAGGTAGTGCCACTTACCCTGCTGTCGACTATCTTGAATTCTCTGAGTATGTAGTCTGGGTACTCTTTCATTGAGTGAAGCGTAATCTCAAAGAATCCGTACATCTGAGTACCAGAATCAGGCCAGTACTTATGACACATTGCCTAGAGAGAAAAGAGAGAGAGAGACAATCATAAAATACAAAGCTCCAGAGCCTTATATTTATTATTAAAATTAATTAATATTACATTTATCTACATGTAATAAATGTACATACACACGTACATACACTTGTAATGCACAAACAATTTTATAATTAGGTCTCCTAACTACTATCAATGAATACAGTTTAAATATTACAGCAAATGCTTGATTCATGTACTATATATAAAGCTCACCTTCCCTCCCTCTCGCTCATTAGCCAGCATTATGATAGTAGAGGACTTGTGCTCCCAGACCATTCGCCAGAAGTCATCAGAGGTATCAGGGAGAGGACCTTGAGTAGCTATGAAAGCTTTACCTTTGTGATAACCCTAAAGACAAGAAAAGATAAACAATGAACAAGATACACTGTAAAAGTATACACATACATGTATATGATAGGTATTATGTATCTATAATGATTAATTGTTATGTCCCTCTATTGCATGCACTTAGGAGTACATTACTAGCAATATTTGTGGTCATGCTTCCAGTAATAATTAATACATTTACGCACAATTAATGTACAGATTTATTAGTACCTCAATAAAGTTGGCATTAATATAATCGCTGCCATCAACTCCTGGTATGGTACTGAGTTTACAGCGAGTCTTATCAACTAAGAAAGAAATACCAATAATGACAGTAAAAATAAGTTCTATTACAACATTAAAAACTTTTGTATATAAGTGTAGCCAAGAGTACATATGTACTCTTGGTGTAGCATATATTACTACTTATTGTTATGGTACTTACATGGTATTACGTTGGCGTATCTGTTCTTGTGTCTGTTTGGTGAAGCAGTTCCAGTGAAAACTATTGGCTCTCTGTGTATGGTCTCTTGAATATTATCAAACTCCTTTTCTAATCTGGTCTTTCCTTCTTCTTTGTCAAATACTTCATTTAGCAATCTGATGGAGAAGAGAAGAGAAAATTAATTATAAACATTTAATTATGCTTTGCTTGCTTAATGCAAAATTTGTATTCACAGAACATAAATGCTTTACAAAATGTAATGCAGTTTACTAATAAAAAAGCTTCATTCGTTTGTATATCATTTCTGCTTATCAATAATAGCTAACCGGAATTGTTCCTTCACTTCTCTAGCCGAGACTTCAGTCTCTCCGCATTCTAAATACTCCAGTAGCGCATCATGAATGAATATATACTGAGCCTATTACAGTAAAATTAAATAATTTTTTTAATTTTAAATTTTAAATTTCAAATTTAAATTAATTTTAAAACAGTAATCAAAAATGCAGAGAAATAATTATAATACATGTAGATGCTTGAAATTAAAATAAATAGATAGATATTGTTCTTACCTCAGTTTGTACCATGAAGCATCTCCTGTATCTCATGGACTGTACAAAGTTGTATATGTCGAGACACTTCCTGTCTAAAATTTGCTGTATCTGACAGGAAATTGTAATAAATGTACCAGTACGACCTACACCAGCACTAGTAGGGAGGAGAGAAAAGATATTAATTATGACATTAGTGATAATTGATGAAATTTATGCATTATTAAGAGTTGTGTAATGTAAGCTAGGCCAGCTTTTAATTACATGTACATGTATGTGTGTTAATTATTATTAACAAATTTAGCATGAAATACATTGCACGTATGTATGTATGTACATGCATGTATGGTATATGTGTATGTATAAAGTTAGTATATTAGTTAGTATATTATTAGTATTTTTATGTGCATATGTATAGGCAAATTCAGCATGAAATACATTGCATGTATATATGTACATGTATGTATGGTATACATATATGTATAAAGTTAGTATATTAGTTATATTATTAGTATTTTTATATGCGTATGTATGCCTACCTGCAATGGACTACTACAGGTCCTGCATTCTTTGGATTCTCCCTCTGCACTTTGTGTATGAACCTAAGGAGAGTCGTAGGGTGCTCTGGTACTCCGAAATCAGGCCAAGAGGTGAAGTGGTACTGCTTGATTGTACGTTCGTCTGAAGAGACTTTGTGCTGTAGAGAGAAGGTCCTAATGGTGTAGTCCGTGAGGGAGAGTTCCTCTTGTAGTTGTATGCGTATTTGACCGTGGACTACGACTCGTTTATCAGGTGGAGGCCAATAGAGATGACATTTGATCTGATAAGGGAGACAGAACAATAATGAAAGGGCAAATGTAGTTAGAGATTTATTTTACAAAAATTAGCAAGGATGCTTCTATAATAATTTTTTTGATGTCCTTGTGCTATAAAAAAATTGAGCTGCTTTTAAGTATTTTTTTAGAAATTGGCCAATTTCTGAAAAAATCACTGTACTATAGCCCATGGTTTTTTCCAAAAAATGGCTCAAAAATCACCCCCAAGTTTTATTACATTTTCTGATACATATTGATGTATTTATGCTGTGTAGAAAGTTTGAGCTGATTCCAACTTAAATTTTTCAAGTTATGGCTATTTTTAAAAATCGGCTAAAATCTGAAAAAATTACTGTACTATAGCCCATAATTTTTTCCAAAAAATGGCTAAAAAAAATCACACCCAATTTTTATTACATTTTCTGATGCATATTGATGTACTTATGCTATGCAGAAAGTTTGAGCCAATTCTGACTTAAATTTTTCAAGTTATGAGCATTAAAAGCTAGTAAATTCACTTCTGATACACGCAAGTCTAGTCATACTTAGTTATAAATACATGTATATAGTATACTATCACTTACTCTTCCTTTCTCCTCAAGATTTGTCAGCATCACAACTGTCTCCGTCTTCTGCTCCCAGATCATACGCCAGAAATCAACAATAGAGTGAGGGACTGGGCCTTGAGATGCAATGTAGGCATTTTCCTTTTTATAGCCCTGGGGGAAGAAAAAAGAAAGAAAAAAGAGAGTGATTAATTTCATTTTTTGGGATATCAAAAACCTAAATTTTTTATAACCACTTATAAAATACTTGTACATTCAGATATAAGCTAAATCACTATCAACAAGTAGTTATAATTTTTATTTATTTCTTGCATAGCTAATATCTTACGTCAATGTAGTTTGCATTGATATAATCTGAGCCAGGAACGTTAGGATCTTCTGTTAACTTGACACGAGAATGATCATCTAAAAACAACAACAATAACAATCAACAACAATAACAACAACAACAACAATAACATCAACAATAATAATAATAATGATGATTATAATAATAATAGTTGGAGGTGTTGCTTACAAGCTGATATGTTAGCGTATCTGTTCTTTATAGCATTGTCAGGATGTTGTGTAGCATCTTTAGTTGGATGATGCTGGGGCTCAACAGTCTAATGAAGAAAAGAGAGAGAGAGAAGAAACAAACATTAGTAATGACTAAGTAACAGGGCTCTTATTGACAAATGTGCCCCATAAAAATTCAACTGAAATATATGCAATTGTATTTTCATGAATAATGTTTTAATAATAATGTTTTCTTACCGGATATTCTACTGAGAAGAGGTAGTCATCATTTGCATGCATGTTGGCAACATGAGCTGGGAAATCACCAACGGAGACATAACCTTTCTCAGAAGCTAGAGAGAGGACAGAGAGAGAGAGAGAGAGGGAGAGAGAGAAAGGGAGAGAGAGAAAGGGAGAGAGAGAGAGAGGGAGAGAGGGAGAGAGGGAGAGAGAAGGAGAGAGAGAGAGAGAGAGAGAGAGAGAGAGAGAGAGAGAGAGGGAGAGGGAGAGAGGGAGAGAGAGGAAGGGAGAGAGAGAGAGAGGGAGAGAGGGAGAGAGAGAGAGAGAAGGAGAGAGAGAGAGAGAGGGAGAGAGAGAGAGGGAGAGAGAGACAGAGAGAGAGTCGAAATCAATGAGGCATAGAATTTTTATATATAAGGACTTACTGCTGATCCATTTGCTTCCAGTAACTGCTATTCATAAGGGAAAAGAAAGAGAGAGAGAAAAACCAGCAATAATATTGTTACAAACTTACATACATACATAACAAATATTGAATTACCATTTAAAAATTAGCTAATTTTAGAAAAAAATCATGGCTATCATAAAACATTGATATTAGCACTATTTATAGTCTAAAATTATAATTTTACATACATGTACATGTATATCTACATGCATACATGTAACACACACACACACACACATACACACACAGTGAATGCTACATGATAATGTACATATTACATACCATCATTGTCTTCAGGTGGAACGTTGGATATTACCGTACCTCCTCCACCCTTTCCGTTAGTGATGGACTCAAGTTCTGTTTCACCGCGACCTTTCCTTACCAGGGAATATATACCAGATCTAGAATGAGAAATAGTAATAATGATAATAATAATAATAATGTAAGTATATTTTTTGTTCTTTCTGTTGCCTTATTCTCTCTCGTTGTTATAATAATAATACTAACAATAATAAATGATTAATAATAATGTTATTTACTTGTATTTTCTGTACACAAAGAACAATACGACTGCTACTATAGCTCCAATTATCAACAGTATAATAAGAGTCATAAAGAATCCCAGTGCGCCTTCATTGTAACCCAGTCCTACAGTGACATTAAAAGAGAGTATGATATTTTATTTAAAATTGTTGACTCACTAGTCTCCACTTGTGAAATCCTTACATATCTGATTAATGGTTGCTGGAGCAAAAAAATAAAATAGGTCAAATTTATAAATAAAATAGGTCAAATTTATAAGTATAATTATATCAAACATTAGGCACTAGCATATGGCAAAATTTTGTGTTTGACTATTTTATTTTTTTTACAAATTTGCCATTTAATAAGATCTTAATAATTTGACAGTTAAATAACTAATAAAGCTACAAAAAAATTAAGCAAAATATCAAACATTTTTACTCCACAAATCTCTTGCCCCATACTACACAACTTCTCTCCCTCCCTTCTCTCCTTACATCAGGTACTCCTGAATCTAAATAGACAATCACAATGACATCGTACAAAGTCCTTCGGCTCAACCCGACATTCTCATACGTCTCTCTCCTTCCATTCCTAGTAGCTGAAGTAGTGCTCTTATCTCCGATAGTGTACGTGGAGGGTATTCCAGAGTTCCAGCCGGCAGTTAGGTAGTAGGTCCTGTCGCTGCCATCAGAGTAAGGCATTGGGTCCGGATACTGGACCTGTAACTCTTGATTAGTGCTGGGTCTCTCGTCAAGGTTGGCTACTATGATACCATAGAACCTAAAAGTGCCAAGTTAATGTATCATAAAAATGAATAATAGCTATACTGCTAGTTAAATTATACAAGTAATAATTCTAAAATAGGTTAATAATTACCAGTTTTGCAAATAGAAAAATGATTGAAAATATTATTTGAACAAGCCAAAGAACCAAAAACTGCAATCACCATCATTAATGATGTTCACTATTATTATTACTATTGCTACAATCATTATTTATCATTATTATTATTATTATTATTATTATTGCTATTACTTACAGGAGTGGCTGTGTTCCAAAAGCACTTGGTGCTGGCAGATTAACTTCAAAACTACTAATAGATCTCTCAGCAGTCGCTGTAGTAACAAAAGTGCCATCGAAAGGTATCGTAGAATTAAGAACAACACGTATCATGATAGAGATCTCTCCAGATAGTGTCTCTTGTTCAAATACAGTGACTGGTCGTACTGTTACATTATAAGTCCGGCCGGTAGTGAGTCCATTTAATATGTAGAATAAAGAGGTTGTTGAGCCAAATGGAGTTCCCGAGCTGTTGGAGTATATGTCATAACGTGTGATGTTTCCATTAGGTAAAAGTGGTACGTCCCATCTTGCCAGTATGCTGGAGCTGGTCTGTGATGAGGCAGTCAGATTATAAACTGAAGATGAATCTGAAAAAATAAAAGAAATAAAAATAATAAATAATAATAAATAAAGGTATATTCTACAGAGAATTTGGTGGGATAACTTTTTGAACTTGAGTATTTATAGCTACCAATTTCATGCAGCAGCTATGTCTGAAATTCACAAAAAATTTTGATAGCCAGACAATTTCAAAAAAAGATTTGTGTGATTCATTTTTTCTAAAATATCATTTATACAATTAATACACTCACTTGTTGGTAGTGTTCTCCTTTGCTCAGTCACCACACTGCTGGAGCGATCTCTACCAAAAAACGCATTAAAAGCATAAATATTGATGGTGTAGGTAGCGAATGGTAGAACAGGCATAATAACAGATGTATTAGTAGGTCCTTGTTGTATCTCTATTGTACTACTGGTACTGTTTCTTCTAGGGGGATTAGTAAAGTAGTTGAAGTCTTGAGTTGCAGTGTAGCTAAGCTCATAAAAGAATGAGCCATTGCGATTTGAGGGTGGATTCCATGTTACAGTGATGACTGATTCAGTATCACGGACATTTTGTAAAGCTAAATTTGTTACTGCATCTGGAGCTGAGAAGAGAGAGAAAATGGAGGAGAGAGAGACAGAAGGTAAGACAAAAAATTAGTGATTATTTAAATGATAAAAATCGCACCGTGTTGCAACATAATTTGTTCATGTACATTTGTACATGAACTTAATCATAATAATTATAATCATAGATATTGCAATATTATAGAGTATAATACTGACTTACCAGCTTCAGCAGTAGGTACAGTAATAGTTTCATTTTGACCACAACCAGCTCCATTAGTAGCACATATTATAACCTCATACTCAGTATTAGGAGTTAAACCAGTTATTGTCTGAGTTAACTGAGTAGTATTAGATGCTGTAGTGGCTAATACAGGAATTGTAACAGGTGAAGTAGGGTTGCCTAGTGCCCCATCTGATTGTTCTGCTCTGTAGAATATCTATAAACAAAGACTTTATTATAATACAATCTCAAAGATGTAATAAATACAAAAAATCAGATTTTGGAGCAACTTTAAAAATCTGTAAAAAAATCCAATTTTGATCCAAACAAGCTCAAACTTTCTATGCAACATAAGTACATGTATATGCATCAGAAAATTATAAAAATTGGGAATTTTTTTTAATTTTAATTTTGGAAAAAATTTGGCCAATACCATGTATAAAACACTAGTACCAGGGCTTAGACCAAATTTTTGAGTATAGCTTTTAAAATTTATAAACAATACAAGGAGTATGCTGTGTATGTTGTATCAGTTTGCACATTATATTGTATGCACCTGATAACCATCTAAGATTCCATTGTAACATTCTGGAGGATACCATGTTATTAATAACGAAGTGGAATTACTCTGATTGACCACTGTAAGCACCTGGGGGACAGTTGCAACTGGAAGAAAAGACAAAAAGATCAATAAGGTATGTAATTTGACACATTAGTTTCTATACTTACATCCTTCAGGTGTCATGAATGTTGTTCTATTAGACGTAGGACCTCTACCAGCTGAAGTGACACCAGTAACATCAAAACTGTAAACTGTATACGGAGCTGAAAAAAACAAAAAATGTATCAGAGCCCAATAATTATTTTTATAGCAATTACACTAAACATTGGTCGTTCAACAATCAAAATCAAATATAAATATATCAATAATTATTAAGTTAATTATACATGCATAATATCTTATTTATTCTCCTAATTTATATATATCTTACCAATATTAGTTAAAGTAAGTGAGGTCTGATTCCCTGGCAACATATAATTAAGCATATTACTAGTGCCAGCAGCTGTAATACATTGTTGTAGAGAGTTAGTAAGAGTGGGAGGCATCTGTCTCTTCCTCCTGTTACCAGTATTCGAGACTTGATCATCTGCACTAATGTTAACTGAGTATTCCAAATCTCCATTAGCTTCGTCAACAGGGATTGGGTCCCAGGATAGTGTGACTGATGTAGGCCCTATATCATTCTGAGGAGGAGCCCTTGGGTTTTGAGGAGCAGCAGCAGGAGCTATACAAAATTAATATTGAACATAAAAATATATACATTTTTTGATACTTAAAATATTATGTGATGATGATAAAACACATACATGTTACATGTATCAAAAGGAACTGTGTACATTATTATTTTGACTCACGTGCTGTGAACGTTGTATTAGTCATTATAGCTGAATAAGGACCCGGGCCAACAGTGACGGCTCTAACCTGAAAACCATACTCCCTTGCTTCTTGCAGACCATTAAAGACATACATGAAAGTATTACTAGTTACAGTAACCTGTCTAATAGGATCAGTGCCATTTATAAGTTGACCAGTAGTAGCGTTATACTCTCCATATAATATTTCATATCTTGTTATTATACCAAATGTCATATTTAATGGAGGAGCGGCCCAGTTCACTTTAATAGATGTAGTGGAAACAGTGACTACAGTGACCATCTGTGGTGGTGCTCCAGGAACTAAAAATAGAATAATAGAATAATACTATTAATAGACCAGTGATTGAATTAACAAACAATACTATAAAAAGTCAATAGCTTATATAATAGTATATAATTAATATGTAATACATTGTATTTTAACAGTGAAATGTCATTACTTACCATTCTCAGCTGTCCTCTCAGTCAGTGAAGAGCTAGGACCCACTCCAACAGTAACTGCACTGACCGATATATTATATTCTGTGTAATTACCAAGATCAGTCAATGTCACACTAGTAGCTGATACATTGCGGACATTGATTGACGGATCAACAGGGTCCACTCCTAGTTGCTCGGTGATAAAATATCTGATGGTGTAGAGATCAATGACGCCATTAATGTCTCGCTCTATTGGAGGAGACCATGAGAGTGTGAAGGTGTTTGAGGTTATGTTGTCGACGGTAAAATCTTGTGGTGGACTTGCAGGAGCTGAGAAATAACAAAGAAAATATATTAAAAGGGAATTAAATAGAGAAAAAGAAAAGTTTAAAGGTAATTGACACAAACAGAAGCAGATTATACACACACACACACACACACACACAGAAAGGTCAAAATGGGAGGAAATCATGGAAAGTGGCTAATTCTTCTAAACTATAAAATCACACACAAACTTCGATTGTGATAACAGAACACATTATACACAACACAACCAAACTTTTATCAACTCACTTAATTAGTTTTATAAATCTAAATTATACAAAGTAACATTACAAACATTAGTCGTATTTGCTACTAATAGTGCATGAGTACAAATGCCAATCTGCTACTAGTAACAATTACTACTACTAATACAATGACAGTATAACCACTGTAGTATACTCACTTGCTTCATTAGTGAGACTAGTAGTACTATCACTAATAGGTCCATCCCCAATAGCAGTCCTAGCCAGTATAGTATATGTATAATTAACATATTCTTGTAATCTTGTGAATGTGTACTGCAGTGTAGCTGCTGATGGTATATCTTGAGTCGTATCGTTGACAAATTCTACATCAGTTGTGATGAATATTGTATACCCAGTTATAATACCATTCCTTTGTGCTGGTGGTACTGGCATCCACGTGACATTAACTGCAGTGGAGTTTATTGTGGAGGATGAGAGGATCTGTGGGAATCCAAAGGGAACTATAGGAGAAAGCATTAGGATTAATATCAATATTAGATTGATAATTAACTATTATTAATACAATATATCCAACAATTTTTAATGGTTTAAAGAGCAAAGTGGGATAAAACTTTTAACGATGATTTTTGTGTTTTTAAAAGTTTTTACATACAATTGGCCACAAATTTTCTATTAAAAGCTATGCACATAATTTTAAAGCAATATTTCCCATTATTAGTATCATTACTCTAAATTACCTTCTTCAAGAGTGCGTTGAGTAAACGGCTCACTAAACCCACTGTCTCCTTCCTCGTTGAATGCATTGACACTAAAATTATAAGATACCCCTGGATGTAGCCCATCAATAAACAGCATCTCTATTGATCCATTAACAGTTAGTTCTATGTTCCTTCGGCCTAAGAAATCAGGCTCAGTGTATGCAATATCATATCCAAGGATAGGAGCATTGTTGTGATGGGGTTCGTCCCATGAGAGGGTTAGGTTACGAGAGGTAACGTCAGAGGTACTGAGATTAACTGGTATGTCAGGAACATCTATAGCAAAAGAGAGAGGGGGGAGAAAGAGGGGGGAGAGAGAGGGAGAGGGAGAGAGAGGGAGAGAAAGAGAAAGAGAAAGAGAAAGAGAGGGAGGGAGAGAGGGAGAAAGAGAGAGGGAGGGAGAGAGAGAGAGTCACAATAATACTTTAAAGAAGTTGTGGCAATTACATTACTTCATGTACGCAATGGCTAAATTCTGACCTTTGATAATAAAGTTTAGAAATTTACAAAGAAGTTGACACAGCCATAGATAAGAACACATATTTCTGCATAACATCAGCATACGTGTATATATTATTATAGCAAGTGCATGCTAAGCTGAAGTATGATAAGCATCGCTGCTTATATTGAAGGCAAAAACAAGACACTAACTATACCAAACACTGGGTAGCATGCCAATAATCACATCAACAACAAGCATAGCTAACACAACAAGCTTATCAGTAAATACTTCCTTTATAATTATGCCAATAAAGAAGGTTATATGTATGTACATACACATACACATATCTTCCTTTATATGCCAATAAAGAAGATTTTACGCATGTACATACACATATACATACATACATTACCTTGAACAAGAACCAATGCTACTGTACTGTTAACACTATTATAGAAAGGGCTACTAGCTATACACACATAGTCTCCAGTGTTATTAGCCATTGCTGAGTTAATGACTATTGTACTTAGTACAGTACGTAGATATGATGTAGGGTTAGTGTATATGAAGATCTCATCCTCTGTTGATGTAATCAGTGAGTCATTGTGTGCCCATGTGATGGTAGGTACAGGGAATCCTCTTGCAGTACAGTTTAATGTGATATTCTCCACTTCGATGCTGACATTGATACTGACTGGATTGACTGTAATAACTGGACCAACTACAGAGAATAAAATATGTGTGTGTGTGTGTGTGTGTGTGATGTAGAGAGATATGTTTAATTATCATTTCTTAGTAAGATTAATTGAGTAATAAGATTGGACTAAGCGTATCTCATCTCCTCATTAGATAAGAATGTCATTTTGATGGGGCATAGTTCATTCTTAATAGCTACCGCATATTTTGACTACTTTAAATTTAATACTTGAACTCTTCAATAATAATTACATTTAAACAAAAATTACATATTTTTTCTGATTTATAATAGTAAATAAATGATGACTATAAAGTTTTGCAGCTTTAAAAAGTCAAATTTTCGAGCATACGTGCACAAAATTTACTACAAATAAGCATTACAACAACAACCATGTACTGAACTGTATGATGCTTTCACCTAAACTTTCATATGATGAATTAATCGAGATGTACATGTAATTCTCATTATTATGTACAGAGTTGTAATTATGCTTTTGTGTGTACAGGATTGGGTGTAGTATGATGCATTATTGAAATTCTTTGGACAGGCTCTATTACATTGTATTAGTCCACTCCCTTCCTCCCACAGTTAATATAATATAATATATACCCATCAACTAGAACTATGTTTTATCTACACATTCTCTTTTCTCCCTCTCTCTCTTCCTCTCTCCCTCTCCCTCCCTCTCCCTCCTTCCCTCCCTCCCTCTCTCTCCCTTTCTTACCATTAACAGTAGCAGTATTATCATCACTCCCAGCTCTGTTACTAACAATACACTGATAGTATCCAGCAGTTTCTACACTAGTGTTTAATGTATAATCAGGATCCATTCCCACTATCGCTCCAGTTCTAGTATAATTCCATTGGAAGCCATTGTTAGGTCCACCACGAGCGCCACAGGCCAGAGTTACACTTTGTTCCTCAAACGAGTTATTCACTTGAGGAGTAATGAACACACTACCCAATGGAGACACTAAAATAAAAAAACAAATTATAAAAACGCTTCAGCAGAAATATTATCAATAAACAACTATTCAATATTGATCAATTTTAGGTTCTACTACTTTTTCAGTACTTTCTAATTTTTGCTGGGAATTGCTAAAACTAGATTGCACAATATTAGTACATAATGAAATATTTACATTTACATAGCAATTGTAATAAATACATAGCAAATGCTACATGTACACATCACGTAATACATAAGTAGCATATTTAGTACATAAAATCAAGGTACTTTCCTTACCAGTAACAATAGCAGTATCTGAGGTAGCAGTTTCTTGTATACCATCAGCAGCAGCAATACAAACATACGAACCAAACTCCTCATAATTTATAGAAGGGAACACCAGTGTAGATTCATTAGCACCAGGTACATATTGAGACGTTCCATTAGCAGGTGTGTATCTCCATTGATAATAAGGGGCTGGGAAAGAATCAGCAAGGCAGTTCAATGATACACTGACGTTAGCAACAGTGAGTACTTCTTGTGGCTGTATTGTAATGACTGGACGTACAAGGAGGAGTGTGTTGTTTGAATCAACGCCGGCTTCATTAAGGACTATACATAAATATTCACCTCCATCTTCCGTTGCATTGATGTTGTATATGCTAAAAGTAGTGCCAGTTTCTAAAGTAATGGTAGATAGTTCGTCTACTATGTCTTGTACTGAAATGGTGTTTTGAAATGGAAGGTTTTGTAGAACAGAACTTAGACTTATAAGATTTTCGAATTCATCACTTCTGACCCAAAGGAAAGTGTTGTTGGGGCCTCCATTAGCTGAGCAGGTGAAAGTAATATCACTACCATTATCAGCAATGTGTAAATCAGGATCAATACTGACACTGCTGTTAGGAGATACTGTAGAGAAAGGAAAGATATATGTAAAGACAATTTAAAAAGTAGAAAAAATAAACGTATGACATGTATTTAATGAATCAATAACTGACCAGTAATCAGTGCCGGTTGTGAGTATATTCTTTGATTAATGGTTGGTGTAGTTACTGCACAGCGATACATACCAAACTGATCATAATCAATCTCTTCAATGGTGAAATTCGTCATCGTCTCTCCATTAATATCTTGATACATATTAGTATCAGTGTTTAATACCTGCCATTGATAGGTGGGTGGAGGGAAAGAGTCAGCCATACAACTAATAGTAACAGTATCTCCTGGATGAGCATATTGATCTGTTGGGTTTAATGTTATTACTGGTGGCACAAACAACATAACATTATCAGTAGCATAACCAGCTTCATTGACTACTATACAAGTATAATAGCCACCATCTGCTGCTCCTCCACTCACAATAAATGAGAGTTCGTAGCCTGATCGGAAAATACTTAAACTATTAAAGAATTGGCTGACATTAAGAGGAGCAGTCAAAGTAGGACCATTAAAGTTTCCTTTGATCCATCGGAACATGTTCCCAGGTCCACCTTGAGCTCTACATGTGAAGTTAGCAGTATCATTAATAGATACTGTACTATACATTGGAGTAGCATCTACACTGCCACGGGGTGATACTATAAAGGAGAAAAATTAATAATAATGATTATGACTCAAAAACCTTTGAATACTATGCTACTTCAAACAGCTATAACTAAAATATACCCATGGCATATATATATGGCTATATATGATATACATATGGCTACTTAAAAAATTGCCATAACTTGAAAAATTGAAGTCGGAATCGGCTCAAACTTTCTACACAGCATAAGTACATCAATATGTATCAGAAAATGTAATAAAAATTGGGGGTGATTTTTTAGCCATTTTTTTGGAAAAAACCATGGGCTATAATAAAGTAATTTTTTTAGATTTTGGCCGATTTTTAAAAATGGTCATAACTTTAAAAATTTAAGTCGGAATCAGCTCAAACTTTCTACACAGCATTAGTACATCAATATGTATCAAAAAATGTAATAAAAATTGGGGGTGATTTTTTAGCCATTTTTTGGAAAAAACCATTTGGCCGATTTTTAAAAATGGTCATAACTTTAAAAATTTAAGTCGGAATCAGCTCAAACTTTCTACACAGCATAAGTACATCAATATGTGTTAGAATATCTAATAAAAATTTGAGGGGATTTTGGAGCCATTTTTTGAAAAAAAGCCATGGACTGTAGTACAGAAATTTTAAAATAGCCATAACTTTAAAAATTTCAATTGAAATCAACTCAAACTATTTATACAGCATAAGTACATCAAGGTGATTGGCTCTATAATTTTAACTTTAAAAAACAATTCACTTACCAGTAACAAGTGCTGGAGTTGATGTAGCATTCTCTTCTATACCATCAGCAGTAGCTACACACCTGTACATACCATACTCCTCATAACTGATAGACTCCAGTGTTAATACGTAACTAGTTTGACCAGTCAAAGGCTCAAAGTACCCATTGGTTCTATTCATCATCTCCCACTGATAGTTAGGGGCTGGGAAGGAATCAGCACGACAAGTTAATGTAACAGTGTCACTGACATTAGTAAAGGCTTCCCTTGGGTCCTCTGTGATGACTGGTATAACATAAAGTGTCGTAGTGTTGCTCTCCACTCCAGCAGGATTCACCACATAGCAAGCATAATTACCACCATCTTCAGTAGCATTGATAGAGTATAGAGTAAAAGTAGGCTCATTGGATAATGTAATGTTTGATAGCTGATTGACAATGTCATCTACTTTAATCGGAGACTCAGAATTAAGTAGTGAGCTAACTGAAGGATTGTTAGATATTAGAGAGTCAAGAGCTGATGGTCTTAGCCATATGAATCTATTATTAGGGCCTCCTCTGGAAAGACAATTGAATGTAACGTTAGAGCCATTTTCAGCTATAACAAAATCAGGATCAATAGTGACACTGCTATTGGAGGATACTATGAATGGAGAGAGAGAGAGAGGTAAAAGTTATAGTGCATGTAAGTGTTGGTAGTGATAAATAGTATTACAAGTGCTATATAAACTGTAGCTTACCAGTAATCAGTGCTGGTTGTGAGTATATTCTTTCATTAATGGTTGGTGTAGTTACTGCACAGCGATACATACCAAACTGATCATAATCAATGTCTTCAATGGTGTAACTGGTCATCATCTCTCCATTAATATCTTGATACATATTAGTATCAGTGTTTAATACCTGCCATTGATAGGTGGGAGGAGGGTAGGAGTCAGCCATACAACTAATGGTAACAGTATCTCCTGGATGAGCATATTGATCCGTTGGGTTTAATGTTATTACTGGTGACACATACAGTGTAACATTATCAGTATCATAACCAGCTTCATTGACTACTATACAAGTATAATAGCCACCATCTGCTGCTCCTCCACTCACAGTAAATGAGAGAAAGTAACTTAATGAAATATTATCTAAATCATCCAAAAACTCGTCAACATCAAGAGGAGCATTAAAAGTAGGACCAGTAAAGATTCCTTTGACCCAACGGAACATGTTCCCAGGTCCACCTTGAGCTCTACATGTGAAGTTAGCAGTATCATTAATGGATACAGTACGATTCATTGGAGTAGCATCTACACTGCCAAGTGGTGATACTGTAAAGGAGAAAACAAAAGGTAAATGAAAATCATGAAGGCTCAATCGTTATAATTATTATAATCCTTACCAGTAACAAGTGCTGGAGTTGATGTAGCATTCTCTTCTATACCATCAGCAGTAGCTACACACCTGTACATACCATACTCCTCATAACTGATAGACTCCAGTGTTAATACGTAACTAGTTTCATCATCTAACGGCTCAAAGTACCCACTGGTTCTATTCATCATCTCCCACTGATAGTTAGGGGCTGGAAAGGAATCAGCAGAACAATTTAATGTAACATCATCTCCAACTTCTGCATATTGTTCCTCAGGATTAGTGAGTATTTCTGGTATTATTAATAAACTAACAGTTCCATTATCATAACCAGCCTCATTGACAGCTATACAGGTATAATTTCCACCATCAGTTCCATTAACATTTTCAAGTGATAACTCTAATGAAGGGGCAGTCTCAGAGACTATGACATCCAGGAAATCAAAGAAACTGTCTATGTCAATTGGTGTTTGAGTGGATTCGATATTATCTTCATTTCCTCTTATCCATGCTAGAGTTGTATTAGGGCCACCACTGGCTTCACAAGTAAAGGTAGGGGAAGAATTTCTGGAGACTATTTGAGTATCAGGCATAGCATTTAAACTACCATATGGAGATACTAAAGAAAGGGAAAGAGAAATTAATTGCCAAATCCATTTACAAATGGTATATATCAAAACCTCATTTCTCTGTTACCATTCTTAATAAATTTTTCTCTTTATAAGGCCATGGATACACAAATAGGCATACCACGTGTATAAACATTCTAACTGTGACATGTTCCAAACACTTAAACAGAATGTACATGTAACAACAACCAGAGGTCTTATCACTTATTACCCATTAAAGAACACGACCACAAATGTACATGTACATATACACAAGTCCCACTACATACGTGAAGCTTAATCCTATTATGAATACATGTCTGTATCCTTATAATAATTAAACAGGTGTATCTACATAGAATGGATGAGTTTAGAGTCACTCATGTGTTTAATTCTATTACCAAATTGTACCAGTACATGCTACACTATGTACTTAATACACAAGTACATGCTACACTTACTCATTTGTACTAAATGTACAAGTACTGAGTCTATGGGGCTTCTATACTTACATGTAATTCTATTACTAGTGTATATGTACATGTACTTACACTACACACACACACACACACAACACAACCTCATATCACATACAATATAAAGTATAACACACTTTACATTCCAAATTGACAACAGCTTTTCATCAAACAGTCAATATGTTGAAGCCTTTGAACCCCTTAACATAAACAATCCTCGTTCACATATTGAAACTGGCTCAATACAAAACTCACAGGTCTATATGCACAACAGCTCTTATACCACCTGCCACAATAATAATCTTATAATCATATATGGGATGCTACATGTGTTGCATTATAGGGGGAATGTTGTAGATAAAAGAAGTGTTTTGTTATTGTGATACTGGGTTAGTTGAGGTGTCATTTCATGCTTCATATTGTACTATATAAACAGAATACATAGAAACTGCTGCTATTAATGAACCCACCACTCAATAACGTGTCTCAACGCTCACCAGCATTCCTTATCTACACACATCTTGTTTGCCTAAGGGTTTCTCGACCATGCATCCATGTAGCTTAAATAACAAAACTTAGCAGTTCAAATAACACTGGGAGTTATTACAACTACTGTCACCGACACCTGCTACAGGCTACTCTATCTCCTCATAATTGGTCTACTTTATAATCTATTTTATCTTCTATCTCTAATTAA